CCATTTTGTATTATCATCAGCAATGTATAAGGGTTCTAGTTGCTCCACATCCTCACCAATACTTGATATTATCCACTTTGTAACAAGCCATTCTAATAGGTATGTGGGTTTATCTCATTGTTTCAATATGTATTTCCTTAATGACTAATGATGCTATGTACTTGTCTGTGTATTTATTTGCCTTCCATATATTTTCCATATGTAAATATCTGTACAAATATTTTGCATTATTTATACCCTCATTATTGACTTTTAAGACATTTTTTCTTTATCTATGTTCTAGATACAAGTATCAGATATGTGCTTCATAAATATTATTTCCCAGTCTGTGGTTTGCTTTTTTTTTTTGGCAGATACATACAGATAAGGAGGAAAGCAGGATTACCAGTAAAGAGATCAACAGGATGGGAAGTAAGGTTTGTATGCACATGAGATGGTGGAAGCTGAAGACACAGGTGGTCCTGGGGCTAACATTAATAAGTATGGAAGGATCAGAACAGAGGAGGACCTCAAGGAAGACAGAGGTATTAAAAATGAATACAATAAGCAATGGGGAGCTATGGAACATTCTTGAGCATGGGAGCAGCATAATAAAAATAAAAACTGTACTTGGGGTGACATCAGAAGGACACGGAGAGGAAGCCCAAGAAGCAAGGAGCGCAGCTGAAGACTTGCTAAGGAAACCCAGGAAGTGAAGATATGAACGGTGACCCTGACAGTAAGAAGTGAAGAAACAGAGTGGAAGATGCTGTATTTTAAAGTAAGAAAGGAGAAAGCACCTGGCACACTGATTATGAGGTATAAAAGATGGGGAAGAGGAACCAGCAGATGGTGTAATGGTTACATCGCTGGACTCCCACATAGTCGACCGCAGCTCCAAGTCCTGGACCTCGGGGGCTTAAAATTCATGTTAGGCGTGTGTGCATGTGTGCCCAAAATCCTGAGAGGAGAATGGAAGAAAAGGGGTTGTGGCATGGTCATCCTTTGGGGGGGGTGATTTCTCGCTTTCTGTTCTCTTTCTTTCTCTGTCTCTCCAGCAAGCGCATATGACCTACAGCAAATGTCTCTCTTTAAAAAAAAAAAAAAAGAAAAGAAAAAAAAGATGGGTGAAAAGCAATAATTACAGAAAATAAATGTTGGAAAATGATTTAAGAGAACACTTAGTTCCACTCCTAATTTTACTGACAAACTAAGACCCAGAGAGGAAGAGTAATTGTACCTAAGTCACACAGCAAGCTAGTAAGTGAGTCAAAGACCATACACATTATTGGGTATAGACTTTGTGATTTCCACTACAATAACATGACCTAAGAATTCCAAGGTCTAAACTCTCAGGAGGAAAACATCTCCCATACAGCAATTTTAGGGACATGAGAATTCACTCTCATTTCTCCTCCGGCAGCCTCTTTTTGGTCCCACCCACCCATAGTCATTCCCAAGTTTAAGAAGAAAATTAAACAGTAAACATTTCCCTGTATGCTTTTTTTTTTTCCTCCACTTACATCATTTTTTTCTTCTTTGACCCAGCAAGCATACCATCAGCAGCTTTTATGATGTAAATTCACATTCTTCTTGTTGGGACAAATATTGAATTAGAACTATAGCTACATCTATCCACATAAATATATCTCAGATCATAACATCGAGAAAAAAGAATATAAAAGCAAAGGAGCAAAATACGAGTTACATAATGATATCATTTGACGATTTTTATATTAATTATGGACATACAAGTGTGTAGGATAAGCACAAAACTAGTGAATCCATAAAAGTGATTAACATTGTAGAGAGAAAGTGGGAAAATGATTGAAAGAACTATCCAGGGGACCCTATTGTATCTGTTATATTTTATTTCTTCCAAAGCTAATAGGGCAAAGATTGAAAGAGCTATCCAGGGGACCCTGTTGTATCTGTAATATTTTATTTCTTCCAAAGCTAATAGGGCATAAAGTAGAAATTTATTTAAGCTACAGGGCAGGCTTCTAGTTCTAATAGTCTCTATTATCAGTATGTTCAAAATGCCCCACAAGTCTTCTAAAATTCGAAAATGTAGCATCGTTTACTATTTTCTGCACTCACTCAATTCCCTATTATTACACTAATGATTCACCTTCACCGAAAAGGTTGAAAGTTACGCACACACAGCATCCATATGGGTAAATGTGTCTCTCTCACATCTGTTCAAGGGTGGAAGCCTGCCAGATTTCCTCAAAAGGGTGTAGAAGATAAGGGAGAAATGCTAAAAGCTGTTAGACCAATGAACTTTGCCATGACTTTCTCTGTGATCCTGAGCGAGCAACTGCAGTTTATCGAATAATGGCCAGCAACTCAAAGGGTAGGAGAAGTCAGAGATGTGGGCAATTGGCCCAAAACCCATCCTCTTACCATGTACAAACAGGAGATTTCTGGGTGCAAGTGAGAAACACAAGGGCAAAAGCAAACAGCGCAGGCAGAGTGCACATCGACAACGCGGCACGCCTGTGGTCAGAGCGCCAGCGTTCAGCATTGTGTCTCATGAGCCTTCTCCTTTCTTGCCTCCCCACCCCCGAGGACTCACGGCTTGGTCCTCGCTGTTAATTTCTACTTAAAAAGACACAATGGCAGGAGCAGCCAAACAAACAAGATCACAGTCTGGTCCAGGAACAAGAACAGGGTTGTAGGAGTGGCCCATATTGGCTAGCTATGGAAGAGCCTATAATTATTGAGGCAGTATCAGAAGACAGACCTTGTGAGCAAGCCATGAGTGAATTACCCAATTTAATCCTCACAAAAATTCCATGTGATAGGTGCGGCCATTTAATCCAGTTTACAGCAGGAAAACTGAGGTTCAAAGAACGTCAGAGATTTGGTTAAGGTCACACAGCTGTTAAGTCACTCCAGGATGTGTCCCTTACTTTGTTCCGTTTCTCTAGGACAAATAGGGGGATTTCGAAAGGGGATGTTCATGTCAATGGGCTCAGACCCACAACACCCATATCAGTCTCTGTAG